TTCTAATGGTGTTTGTAAATAGGATCTCAAGTCCGCATCTTGTACAGCAATTAACCACTAAGAAGAATATATGCAGTGTATTATTTGTTGAATCTGTACTTCCGATTTGATTTGAAACTGTCTCATTGCTGTTTATCAATAAAATTTTGAAAAAAAAAATACATGGGTTACGCACTATTTTTCTTTGATTGACATGTGGCCTCACCAAGGATGATGCTTGAAGCTATGGCAGCCATTTCATGACTCTGAGAAGGCAAACACGAGGTTATGAAAAAACTATGGAGCCTGGATCCTCGGTAAAAATCAACGCTTCATGCACCATTATCTTCATTTCACATTTGTTTTCACTGATATAATCTCTTTTATCATTTAGTCTTTTTAATTATTTTTTACTTGTCTTTCCATAATTTGCTTTCAGCCCTGATTTTCCTCCCCTCCCCACCATGACCAGGGGACATGTCATTTTAAAAAGCTTATTTAATATTATGTATATTGAAACTTTTTTTGTATTCTAAAAATTAAGTTTCCTGGGAATTTCATGTATCACAGAGTTCATCTTTTCATATATGAGGGGGCATCTATTGAAAGGGTATGACAATAGTTTTTCCTATATCCATTGGACTGTGCAACCATGGCCATAATCAAGTTTTGAATTTTTATTATCCTAAGAATAACCTCAGACCCACTAGCTGTCACTCTATTTTTACACAACACTTGAAAGCCAATACTCTTTGTTTCCACAGATTTACACATTCTAACTACTGCATGTGAATGAATAATATGTGATGTTTTGCTAGCACCTTCTTTACTTTGCCATACTTTTAAGGTTTATCTGTGTTGTAGCAGTATCAATTAACTTTGGGTTTTATAACATAAACAAAGTGTATTAAAAAATACACTTTGACAGGCATTTTTGATTGAAGATAGAAAAAGGGTGTACTACAAAAAGGCCTAAGTTCTGAGTAGTAAGAAACTTGAGTGTCAAACCGAAGCAATTTTAAGGAATTTATTTGGTATCCAGTATTTGTTACTGACAACTACTGAAAATACATACCAGTACACTAATTGCAATTTTAGCTTTTAAATGCTCTCTTGAGCATCAAAAATTCCAATCCTTCTTCTATACTTGCATGTTTAGGAGGCAACACTTTGAACTCTCCCTCTTCCAGGATGTTATTCTTGCTGAAGATCAAATTCATCTAAGCTCAAAGACTTGTCTTATAAATTTTTTTTTTCTAAAAAATCTATTTGGTACAGGGTCTTGCTATACAGCTGGGATTTGTAGTGATCCTCCTGTCTCAGCCTCCTTAGCTGAGATTACAGGCATGTGCCACTATGCCCAGCTTTGGTGGTCAGCTCAGCACAGGGCAGGCATGGCATGTGGTATCAGGGATTGAATTCAGACCCTTGTGCTTGCCAAACAGGCACTTAGACTGCCGAGTGATCCTCCTAGCCAAAAACTTACATTTTATTTACTTTTTACATTTATTTATTTTTGTATTTTAGGGAAGGATCTACAGGGTGTTCAGGGTCTAATGATTCTGTTTTCAGCCTCTTAAGTGCTGAGATTATAGGCGTGCACCATGCCCAGTCTCAGTGTGCCTCCTGATGGCATAGCAGGCCCAGGGAGCAAACCCCTGGTGTCTGCGCCTGCAGATTTATCTTCTAAACTTCTTTTAAATCCTATACATTTTCCCAAATATTTTTGTTTTGGTATTCAGATAGTGTTCTGATTTGAACTGTCTCCTTCCTCAAAATGATATATTAATATCCTCTTAGTAAATCAGAATATTACCATATTTAGAAATAAGATCTTTGCATATGTTAAGATGAGATCACACTGAAATAAGGAGGATCTCTAATTTGAAACAACTGGTGAGTTTATAAAAAGAACACTGTTAGGCACCTATCACTATAACAAGTAACTTAGATGATTTACTGGTAAAGAAAAAAAGGTTTACTTTGGCTCAGAGTTTCAGAGGTTTGGTTTCTTCTGTTCAGAACCAGCTGGCTCTGTTGCTTTTAGGCCAGTGGCAAGCAGGGCAGGAGCACATATATGGTAAAACTACAGCAAAACAAGCAGAACAAAAGGAAGAGGAAGGAGCTGTAGTTCATAAGCGCACACTGAATGAGTCAAAGCTCTTAACTAGGATCCACTTCTTTAAAAAAAAAAAAAAAATCAAATACTGGACTGACTTAATCAGTATAAAAATCTGCAATAAAAATCCAAATTTGGGGGAAGAGTAAACTTTAAAACAGCAGCCAAATAGGGAAAGCAGGGTGCAGAGGGTGGGTGCAAAGGCAGCTAGGACTTGTGGGGATGGGTAACTGACCACTGTCGAACCACTGTAAGCCTCTCGGTTTCTCATGGAAAACATTTTATACACCTCAATCCATCAGTGTCCACAAATATCTGTTGCATTTTCTGTGTTGTCTTGGTGGTAATATTACGACAAATATTGCATTACTTCATTTCTGCCCCATGTGGAAAATTAAACACTTTCGTTAGCTTCTGCATTTCATCTCAGAACCAGTCTTTGAGGCATGGATGGACTGCCAGTGATCTTACAGACTAGGATTCAGTTTTTACCACCTTCCAGTGTTGCCACACTGGGAACTAAGCATTTAACATATTAAACTTTGGAAGATATTTCATATTCCAATTATGGCAAAGAACATGTAAAGAGATGAGGGCATGGGGAGAATGGAGACTGTCATGATGGATGTACAAGCCGAAGATATGATGTTATCAGATGTTGGGAGAGGTTTGTGGGACAATTCTGCTTCAGAGCACTCAGAAGGAGCCAATGCTGTTGACACTGACTTTGTATTTTAGTCTCCAGGTCTAGGAGATGATCAATTTCTGTTGTTCTGACTTATCGTGTGTAGAACCTATCAAAATTACCACCAACAAGAAGCTGCATCATCTCTGTACTTGATAAAAATGCAGTAAGACAACACCACCCCATAGCTAAGAATGCTATTAAATAAGATACCCAGGTGATTCACATGTACTTTAAAGTTTGAGAAGTGCTGGTATACAGTTATGGTAGGAAAGAGTAGGAAAAAAAGTGGTTAGAGAGCTATGTTATGGTTCAAGTGAAAAAAGAACACAATCTATTTAAAAAAAGATAATACAAAGGTCAAGGATACTGATTTTAGGTTGTTAGGAAAGAGTCAGTTTTAGATCAGACAGTTTTGGAGTTAGTTCCCTTAACCAGCAAAGTAGGTAAGTTCAGTATGAACGGCTATAAGTCAGGATTTCTGAAAAAAGGTTAGGATCAAAAATACAGAAGTGTGGATCTATTTGGTACCCATCCTCTGGGTTTCAAGTGTTTGTTTTTTAGCACTTTTATCTTTTACAAACGTTTCCATGTTGTCATCCTTGTGGAAAATAAGCTATGCCTTTGCACGATCTTAGGCCTTTAGTGATTCACATGAGGGCCTCTGGACTACAAGCATCTTTCAGGTCTATCAAATTCTGCACGAAAACTTTTTTTTGAATGTTTTAAAACTCAAAGCCCAAGGCTAATCAATACTGCTCCTTTTCCATGGACCCTGTGATTCTCCATTCTCAAGTTTTAACTGAGGCTGTCCTCAAGCTAGTCCAGTCTCCAGACACAAAGCAGCTAGGAACTTTCTGAGGTGCTAAGTACATTTTTCCCAGTGCCCAATTCTGTGTTAATACTTACTCAACTAAAAGTCTTCCATCATGGTATGGAAGACTTGGGAACTAACCAAGAGAGGTTTCCTGCATTGTCAGTGTTAGTAAGCAACAGAGTATAATTCCAAAGTAATGATTCTCTGTATGTCACGTCTCATCAAAGATTGAAAAGCTTGTACAATTCTTAGTGAAGACAAAGACAAATAAATACCCTCTCTTTTTGGCCCTGTGGGGCGTGGGAAAAGTTCTTGCATTGTTTCAGTGCATAGTACAATAACAAGAGCATCAGTATGTCTTCCAAAATTACCTTGGCAAAATTTGTAAGGAGGAGAGCCTTCAGTAAGAAGAGACATCAAAATCTTCACTTCATTACTTGTGTACCTTTGATGGATGGCTTTGAGTTTACTTTGAAATGAGACAGAGACAGAAGGACAGAGAGAGACAGAGCTTTTAAGAAGGCCACGCACACTGTCCACGCGAAGGTCCAGGAGTGTCGCTCAAGAAGAGCGGGCCCGCCGGCGAGGGCAGGGCAGGGCAGGGCAGGGC